ATTAAATAAATGAATGTATTCATGTGCTTATCTTGCATAAAATAAAAAATATGTATATATTTGTGCATTTTGTCTTGCGTATATTCAACATTTATGTTTCGCAAAATATAAAAATTTATTTATAAATCAAGTGATTTCGGAGTATTAATGGGGTCGGAAGATCATGTGTCTGCGCCCTCGATTAGTGGTGATGCTGGGACTTTTCTCTAAACACGCCTATTTCGACTTAGCCGCCGTAGGTTACACGAGAATTGCCAATTTACCAAATAACACTATATTAGTCTAAATTTTAACTTCTCTAATTGTAAAGTTAAAATACAATAAATTTTAAAACTTTGTAGTTCTTTCCCGTATGTTTGTACATATAATAAAAAAAACAGGATATTTATGTCATATTAAATTTCATGTCATTATTACATTTTTATGATTTAGAATCGGGATTGAAATTCAAGATTAGATATTCATGACAAACGGGCATTCTCAAGAGTTTTATAAGATTACATATTCATGATAAAGGGACATATAGACAGACAATTTATTAATGAGGATGATTCTCTTTATTAAGAGAAGGATACTTGCACAGGTAGCATTGAATAGACATCAATGGTCTGTCATCCGATAGTACCACCTGCCACCGAAGGAAAATATGTCAAGCTTACTATTGACTAAATATAATTATTAAGTATAAACAGAGCTAAGGCATATTTCTAATACTAATTTAACTATGTTACGACTAGATCGTAACACTAGTAACTCTATTTGCGAAATTAAAATATTTCTTGTAAAATTTGATTTAGAATTATTCTCTTCTGAACTTTACTTTTGGTATTACTTTAAATTTTAATTGTTTTAGACTTTAATTTTCATAAACTAATTGTTCAACATACTAGCTGCTGCGCAGAATTCACATTCTTATCTACAACTACTCTTCTAGATCAATTGTTCGTAAACCAACCGTTTATTTTTTCTTATAATAGTGTATCTTTTAGCGCTAAATACTGAAAAACAAGCTCCATTGGTCTCCTTTAAAATTATCATTCCAAATTATCAAATACGGTTATTTTTTTTTTTACAGTACTACATTTTATTTATCATTTAATTAATTCTAATTTAATAATAAATCAATTTAATTTAATATTGATTCGATTATATATTTTTTACACAACAACTTTCTAAAAAACCAATTATTGATTTATTAGATATTTTGTTTATTGAAATAACATAAATGCGAAGTGATATAAACGAGATGAATGAGTAACATCAAAATATCGTAAATATCGTTAATATCAAGTCCATTAATATCAACCTCTCATTAATATCAACATTTTATTTAAAAAAAATCAAACTCATGCTGTATAAAAACTGTCTCATTGTTATCAACTCTCACATATATCAGCATACTGGTTGAAATTAACGATGGTTGACTGTATAGATTTAGTTTTGACGATAATATATATCTATAATATATATCTATATGTTATGCATCGTTTCTAAAATTTTGTCAATTATTAATTGACGTCACTGAGTGAAAAATGACACGGGTCAATACTTAATACAATGTATAATAAAAAATAAAGACAAATAAGTACGATAAATTGAATTCAAGTGATATTTTATAACTACAGCTTTTAAGTTATTTTATTTTCATTTGCACTTATTATTATGGATATTCAAACTTAAGCTTTTTTTTAACACATAAAATCTTGATTGAATATAAACAGAAACTATACCAAGTGCGAGCTTTCAGACTTTCATGTACTGTGTAGAAAAATTTTCCTGTAATTTTTGTATGACCAATATCTATGTTATAGTTTGTATTATATTATCATGTGAAATTTTTTCATGATATTTTGCATAAATGGATATTTCATTTTATGACAAAAATATCAGTGCAAAAAAATTCACATAATCATATCATACGAACGATAAATTCAAATACGTACGTATTGCTTCAAAAAAGTCAAATCGAGATTTTTACCAAGATTTTTACAAAATTACTTGCAAATGAACACGAATAATCCGGACGCACTTATTACGTATCCAGATCTTGATGTATTCATCATGTTTAAAAAGAGGTGAATATTATATATAATTATAAATTTGAATGTGTTTAATTAAATATATTTGTATAAGTTTAATATTTAGTATTTATAAAATGTGCTGTAATAAAATTTTATTAATTAATACGTAATTGACTTAAATTGAGAAACAACACATATCGTCCATCGAATCACAATAAAGTTGTAGGTTAAAAGTTAGGAAGTTAAAATTTTTTAAAAACTATCGCTTCTAATACAATTATGGAATGATATACAGTAATACGTAATTGACATGCTCTCGATTACGTCACGAGTATTTCAACATAAGATCATGGATTTCAATAACCAATCAGAAAAAATTTAAAGAGGGAATAATTTTTATTCTGGATTTAGAAATACTATTACAACAAAGTTCTTCATCAAAGATAAACTTTTAGCCACTTACATTCTGTCTACATATTAAATTTTATTTAATTGTTCACTTTACGTAATTTTGCCAATCTTTGACAATTTTAAATTTAAAAATATGAGGGCGTGCATGTACCACGTACGTACGTGAGCTTACTGTCGGGCGTTACTTTCGGAAGTGGCTATAGTATCTAAAATTTTTAAGTTAATGTTTACGATTAAAAATTTATCCCAAATTGGGTATTATTTATTATTTGTATTGGCAAATGAGAATCTTACCTCAAAAATACGTAACTGTTGCTGGAATAAGTAATATTGCAAAAATATAAAAGAAAGCCAAGAAACACTTCTTTCTTTCCATAATTATTTTCTCAATTTTCACTATGGTAAGTTATTATTTTTTTATTAGTATTTCGTCAGAAGTGTGAATGCATAAAAAATAGTTATTGATAAAATAATTATGTTTTAACGTTCTGAATTCAACTATTTAAATTTTTTCAATTTTAACTTGATAGGAACTTACCAAAAGCCAAGTTGCAGACTTCAAAGAAGTCTTTTCTAAACTTGATAAAGATAATGATGGCTGCATTACAGCTACTGAACTTGGTATGGTCATTAATTCTATTGGATATGACTTCAGTAAAAGTCAATTACAAAGCATGGTTGATAATGTTGATTCCGATAAGGATGGTAAAATTAACTTTGATGAGTTCCTAAAAATGATGACTATTAAAATGAGTGAATCTGATAATGACAGAGCACTTAGAGAAGCTTTTAAGGTTTATGATAAAGATGGCAATGGATTCATTACCGCTGCTGAGTTGAAAAGCGCAATGGAAAGTATTGGAGAAAAGATTAGTTATAAAGAGGTTGAAGAAATGGTAAGTCTATAAATGTTCCTTGAATATTATAATCTATTTATATTATAAATACTTAATATGCCATTATTTTCATAGATCAGTCATGCTGATCTTGACGGTGACGGAAGAATTAATTATGAAGAGTTCATCAGAATGATGAATTCCTAATATATTATTGTCTGGAAATCAAAGAAATTTTGAGCTGTCTATTTAGTGATTAACCATTTTTGTTGAATACATATATATAAATATATAGGTAATATCGTCACTTCTGATATATTATATATTATAAAATAATTTAAAAAGTTATATAATAATATTAAATCTAATAAATGTTATTTTAAAATATACTCTTAGAATTATATATACTATAATATTAGATTATAAAAATAAATTTATTATATATTAACTATATATTTTTTTTATTAATTTGCAAATTTATAAAAAATATTTAAAATATTTAATTATTAAGTAATAATTTTTATTATTATTTAAACTGTATTTTATCTATTAAGTAAAAATATTTTTGTATTATTTTATCTATTAAGTAAAAATATTTTTGTATTATTTTATATAGTATGAAAATTTTTTAAGGTTCAAAAAATTTTTATTAATTTAAATATAAATAAAATTTCACAAATATAAAAACATAGTAATTATTATATAAAATATACTTATATACCAAGTTTATAAAATTTATAATTAATATATTTTTAAATAATATATGATTTAGTTTTTTATACACCTATATAGCAATATTGTTATATTACAATATATTTATATTATACTAAATCAAAAAACAACAGCAAATTCTAAAATCTGATTGGCTAATTAGAGGAATGCATTGTTATATGAGTGTACAAAAATTTTTTTGTTTTTTTTTATAATGCCAACTTGTAAATTGTTTTTATTAACATTTATATTATTATTACAATTTTACATTTTCATTTGTGTTATTATATTACTAAATGCTATAGTTACTCAATGTGATATTATATCTATATATTCCTATTCTATTATTAGAACTATAATATTTTAATTATTATTACTAATTAAGATAAAATTGTAGTTACCTTATTATACTATATTTCTTAATTTTATCTGATTTTTAATCTCTTTATTTATTTTTTGCAGTAATCTTTTCCTTCTTCCAAATTGGTTAATTTTAGTAGTTTTTTGTTCTTCTTGCTACCAATTTGGTGTACACAACCCTTCATGTATTAGTACTAATTGGTATAGTTAAATTTATCAAGATTTTGAATTATTATTTGCAGTTATTATATACTCTTTTTTGTGTATTTCTATTAGTAATTTAATTCACTTTGCTGTTGCTAGAAGGCTTAGAATCTTGACTTATTGTATACAGTATAGTAACCATCAACAATGTTGTGATATATGATTATTAATTCTGTTTTTTCTTTAAGGTTTATAGTATTTACTAAAAATGTTCTAATTTTGATTAGACTAATTCTTTACCACAGATCTTTTTTGCATATCCTGCTTTACTTACTATTCTAGTTTTAGTTATATTAGTATTACTCTCTAATTAAGTATACTGCAAGTTGGATGCAGAAATGTTGATGCTATCTCATCTTCTAGAAAACTTATTTATATAATATTTCATATAACAGAATCTTCTGTAATGATATAGTGTTTTTTTTTATTAAGTTAATCTCCTTTTGAAAATTTCTAATCTATAATATATTTCATCTTAGAACTTACCACAAAGTTTTGCATCTGATTTGACTCCTATATTAGGTTAAAGAGTTTAAAATTCTTAAATTTTATCTTTAGCCTGACTCAAACTGTTGACCTTATTTGTAAAGACTTGGCAGCTTAACAATTAAGCTACAGAGCCCAACTTCTCAAAAAACATTTTTAAAATAATATAAATATAAAATATAAATTTAGAAATTTATTTTTTATATATATAATATTAAAATTTTAAATTTTTTAAAAAAAATTATAATAATTAACTTTTTAGCTAATCTATAATTTAGTATAGACTAATATATGTAATTGTTACAATATAATATCATTAAAATAATTAACTAATTTTGTAACTCTTTTTATAGATTATTTATACTAAAATTTTGCAAAAAACATTTAACTATTTCTTAAAATTTACTAAGTAAATCTTATTTGTACTCTTAAATAAAGTGTTAAGCATATTTTCTGACTATCAAGAAAAGTTTTAAAAACAAATATTTTAGTTTTTATAAATTTTTATATATTTTATTAAATAAATATATCTTACTACTTATTTAAAAAAATATTAAGTACTTTGAGTCAGTTATTTTAACATATATTTTATTATAAACAAATTAAACTTACCAAGATACAAACAAAAAGATAAAAACTAAACCCTATCTTTACAAGTTTTTTATTAATATTTTAGAAAAATCTGCTAGGTTGTTCTAAAAATTTTACTTTCAAAACATTTATTAAAATTTTTTAAACACTTAATTAGCTTTTGTAAACATATTACACTTTACAAATTGTTTTTAAATAGTCTAGAAATCCTGATAATTAAGAAATTTTTTTAAATAATAGTATTACACAATAGTTTATACTACCTATACTTTATAAATATTATTCTAAAAGATAGCTATATAAAATGCCAAGTATTATTAATATTAAATCTAATTTCATTAATCTTAATAATTATTTTTTTAAATATTATAATAGATTTAGTTCAGTTATTCATAATAACAATGTTTGAAATCTTAAAGTTCTACCAATCAACTTTAATCTTATAATATATGATTTACAAAATAGTTTTCACTTTTTTGTAAAGCCTACTAAATCTACTATTAATATTTGGCTTCGTAAAAAATATTATATCTATTGTTTTACAATATATTACTATTTTATTATCTTCTCAAGCTATTTTGAAAAACATTGTAAATAAATAGTATAGTGACCTAGTAAAGTGGTCAGGTTGTTAACCTTTTAAGTAGTTGATTGGGTGTTCAAATTCTATAAATGGCAAAAATTTGGATAATTATTTATATAATATTTATATTACAACAACTGTTACTAATAATTAGATTAGAATATCTGTAATAGCAGTATATTAGCATAACTGGCAGGTTATGAGGCATTTGTATAACTTATTACTCAGAGAAATGCAAACTAACAAATTGGGCAGTGCAAACACTAGTTAAGTTCTTGTTGCTGTATAAATCTGTTAAAATTAGATAACAAGAAGTCTATTTGAAAAGATTTTTTTTAAAATATTAACGATGAGGACATGCCTTTAACTTTATTGAAATTTAATTGAAGTTTTTACAAAGAAAAGCTTGCTTTTAAATTACATATGAAGAATA